AAGTGTAGGTGAGCAATTGGCTCTGTCCTGTCACTCTGCAGAGGGAGGGATGGGCTTTGGTGTCACCTCCCCCACTGAGTTTTGAATCTGCTGGTGTATTTTAAGCAGACCTGACAGAGGTCTCAGAAGGATTCTCTATTTGCAGGTTTCATGAAATTAGGCAGCCTCTAACTGGTCCCACTGCAGGAGAAGTTACAAGGTGAGCAGATCTCCTTTTTATACCCCAGGGTTTCCCTGCTCTCTTACACTGAGAGCCAGATTTTCCCATCCCCACTGTCATTTCAGAAAATGGAATTAATCTCCTACGCATGGAAAATACGCATTTCTTCTCGCACATGCACATTCCACTTGCAGCCCCGTGTGATCATCCATTTTATATTGCTGCTGTCCCTTATGTCCAAACATCTTGCAGCTTTTAATTAAGTCTGCCCAGCAATGCAGAGCAGGCAAGTGCTGTCATCTCCTCATCTCCCCTTCTCAGGGGGTGGGGAGGGAATTGGGGCACGCAGAAATGAGCTCACCCACAGCCACAGCACAAGCCTGGGGCAAAAATCCAGATCCTGCCTGTGTCACCTCTCTGCCACTCTACCTGCAGGCTCCTCTTTCCAAAGCTCTGTGTCCTGTCCCTGTTTTCCACAGAACTGGCAGTGGCAGCCTCTGCTCAGCTGGATGAGCCCATCTCACCTTGTCCCTCTTTGCCTCCCACCTCTGACACTGAACAACAAAGCCTTTTATTTTTCTTTTAAGGAAATATTTTTGTTGTTGTTGTTTGGTTTTTTTTTATTTGTTTGGGGTTTTTGTTGTTGTTGGTTGTTGCTGTTTTGGTTTTTTGTTTTGTTTGGTTCTTTGTTTTTTTCTAGAACTTGCTTCAGCTGAGCAGCATCATCAGGGAAATTCCTGTCAGTGCCTCTGCCTGGCAATTTGCATGGAGCATTCCAGTGCTCAGCCCACTTTTTGCTTTGCCTTATAGCTAAATAACTTCTGAGAGAAGAGAGGAAAAAAAGGACAACATGACAACATACTTCAAAGCAGTGGGCTGAAGCTGTTAACTGTTCAGTGGTAACTGGGATGTTTTCTGGTCTGAGCATGACCCCAGTCCCAAAGCCAAGCTGAGCTTCATCTGTTCTCCAGCCTTCCTGCAGTACCTCGTACCCCAGGCTCTCATGACTAGGAATAACAACAAGGATGGTGATAATGAATATTCAGACATCCCACAAACCACTCTCAGCATCTGCCATCCTATCTGCATTAGCACCAGTGTGCACAGATAATGATCAAAGCAGCATTTTCCTGCCAGAGGCCCCCCCTAAACCACCCTTATTAGTATGAATCAATGCTGACTAATGTGCTTCCCTAATGCAATTGTATCCACTCCTACTGTTCATGATTTAATATAAAACATCTCCCCCTTTGCCTGCCTTCCTGCTAATGCCACATGCAAGGTGCAAGCCTTGACTGAGGGTACCAGGAAAATCCAAGTTTTACAAGAAAGAGATCTAAAATCCACTGAAATTAAATGCATGGAAGGAGGTAACAAGACTTTTGGGGTTGTAACAGTGAACCGTCTGTCCATGCTAGAACTGGATCCAGACTTCCTATGAAAGATATTATCAGCTCTGAGGTTCTACAGCAATTCTGCTTATGCAGAATATAAAATAGCCCTGCTCACTGCAACAGGCTCTGTGCTTACTGCTGACAAGCTCTGGACTTCAGTAGTGATAGAAAGAGGATTCTTCTATGATTTTATGTTGCTATCTTTTTAGCATCACCTGCAAAAAGGAGAAAATTCTGCATTTTGCCTTATGCTGCTCTTAGCACCACCAGTGGCTTTGCCTTGGTGGTTTTCCGGCGTAAATGACACGGCCCTAATGTGATGTGTCCATGTTCCCACACAGCAGGACACCAGGGAAATCACCACTAAACAGCCAATAGTGTTTCCATTAGGGCTGGGTGAAGTCCTCTGGCCTGATTTCCCATCCTCTCCAAACCCTTGGTCACTCTGGCTGGATTGAGATCTGCTGTCATCAGCCTTGGGAGAAGAGCAGGGGTCAGGCCAAACCTCACTCAGCAGAATCACACGTACCCCAAGGAACTGCCTGATAGAGCAACAAACTAAAAACCAGCCAACCTAAAAAAGTATGAGAGGAAAGGGGCATTGAAGGAGAAGATTGCACAGAAAATTCCCATGCTCCATATCAGCTGCTTTTCTAAGGGAAGGATTGATATCCTTAATGCAGGATATGTGCCTCCCTTGGGCTAGCCTAGTGCAAAGAGCAATTGAGAGACATCTTTTGGTAGGAAAGAGGCTTCTATGTCGGAATTAAACAGTTGACAAAATCCCAACAGCTTTACAGATTCTCGGAGTCAATTTAAGGAGCCCACAAAATGAGATTTTACCCCTGTGGGTTTCAGTAAAACGGAATGTTCTGGGAGAGTGTGTGCACAGTCTAGCTCTTAACTGCGAGAATTGGCTGTGGCTCCACTAATTCTCCATAGCCAGGCTGAATCTGATATCCCTTTAAAAATGCATGGGCTCAGTTTTTAAGTGACCAGTTCTGCCAACAGGGCCAGATATTAAAAACAAACAGCCCTCCAGCATCCAGCCAGACTCCCACCTGATCATTCCATCTGCTCTGTTGGAGCAGGTGAGGCTTTTCCCTCTTCCTCAGCTGACCACAGTGGGAGCAGCTTTGTCCCAGACCTGTATTTCCAAGGTGCTCAGCTCCCAGCAGCTCCAAGCACCACACATGAGTGGCATTCCCAAGCACTCAGCCCCCTCCTTCAGCTCAGTGTATGGTGTTTGGCCATGAGATGCTCTCAGTACCCTTGCAGTCCTCTCTAAACTCTCACCCTAACCACTTCCACTGGATTTGTGTCTTATTTCCAGGGGTTTTTTTGGGAATGGTGACTTTTCCAGTATGCTCATTATCTGCAAGACCCCTCTCAGGCACCTGCCATGCCCACAGAATGCTGATGCCTTTTTTCTCCCATGCTGGAAGGAGGGTGTGGTGTTCTCCACCTGCTCCACGTGCCTTTCATAAATGGTTTAACAACACTTAGCAGAAACAGAGAAAACAGATCCCTTTCCACTTCCCATAGATAAAGTTCATCCTGAACTGAGGTAACACTTCAAATTCATCTTAGTTTCCTACAAACCAAAAGGGAATTTCTTCCTTACCCCCTGACAGATAAAACAACAAATCACAAGCTTCACATGTAAACAAGACTTTGGCTCCTTTATAAAAGTGGAGAAGGCACAGCCATGGCACAGGCTGCCTGCTCAGGGTGTGAATCCTCCATCACAGGAAACCTTCCAGGTTCCCCACAAAGCTCTGTCAGACGTGACACAGGTATGTCTGAGTCTGCCTTGGGGAAAAGGCACAGATTAAATGACCTCTCAAGGTCCTTCCAGACCTGTTTCTCCCTGATGCTTAGAGACAGGATCCCAGGCTTGATGGATCTGTGGCCTGACCCACAGTGACAGTTCGTAGCTATGTCTGAACACATCCATCGTGTGGCTCTCTGCCCCCAGCCCCTGCAGACTCCGTGGTGGCATCGTGGGCTGCACAGCTCTTTAGCAAAGGGCAGAGCCAGTGCCAGAGGCGAGGAGCAGAGCAGGGATCTGCAGGCTGGGTCACTGTGTGTGTTGGCAGGCAGGGCAGGAGGAGAGCTGGGCAGAGCACAGCCAGGGAAAAAGGCTTTTGGGAAAAGGCATATTCTCTGCTGCTCTGTGCACAGACACTGAGACCTCACCAGTGGAAGCAAAGCAGCACAGCTTTTAGGTTTTGGGGCTGTCTTTCCCCTGAACTGTTTTGGAGAGGACAAGCCAGGACAATATTTTTAACCTGCCCTTGCTGCTGCAAGGGGAGGGGGTTCTGCACTCCCTGGAGGCTGCAGGACAAGAACAAATCATTTTTCTTCCCCACACAGAGCTGATGCCTCACAAATCTCTGTTGCTCTGCCTCTGACCCCGTGCCCATGGGACAACACTCCCTGCACACAGGTGATTCCCTGTGGTTCCCTGTAATTCCCCCTCCCCATGTCCATGGCTCCATGTGCACAGTGCCACGGGCTGCTCACCAGCATTTCCCTGCCCACCACTTTGCATGGCTGTGTTTGCAAGTGTCTTTCTGAAGCACAACAGGACCATATAATTATGTAAATGCACACGTGGCTGGGAGAGTTTTTCAGTCTCTTTGGGTTTCAGCACAAATCTCCTGACACTTGCTGGCTTATTCCCCTTCACTCCAAAGTGCTGGCTGCTTCAATAGGGCGTTCATGTGAGCACCCCAGCTTTTCAGATTAAAATGAGGAGGAAAAAGGGTGGTTCTAGATAGCACAGCTGGCAAGAAGAGTTTGAAACAAGCAACAACTAAGGCTTAAAAACCTAGAAGGCAAAATAAAATCCAAATTCTGCCTATTCTCTGTAGGTTTTTTTAACTCTCTGCAGTTTTTTAAATCAAGATCACAGTTCTTGGGCCAAGTCCAACTTATACATGGAGATAAATCCTCAAGGATCCGTGGTAGGCAGCACACAGCCAAGGCTCCTACACAGCAGTGTGAGAACTGTCACTCTGACGTGCGTGGTGACATCTTTATGTGAACCTGCAGCTACTGGCAGTTCACATGTACGAGTTTGGTACAGAGGCTTGGGCTGTCCAGAGCTCCATTGATTTGAAAAAGCTGCTTGGGAACCTGCCTGTGAACTGTCTGTCACCACGAATGAAGAACGCCCACCCCCTCAGCTCCTTTTCATCTCACTCTGTGCTGTGCACATTGCCGTGACACTGCAGTGCCTTCATCTCACTATCGGAGCGCTCCACCCCAGCCTTTGAAGCAATTTGCATTGCCAGCTGGGGGCCAGGGGGGAACCAAAGCAGCATTTCCAGGTGGAATGGGGACAGTGGTGCAGCTCCCACTGACTCCCAGCCTGCAGCCCATGGGAGCTGGCAGAGCTCCCGGCACCCAAGAACTCATCCAAGGCGCAGGAGGTGACATACCTGTATATTTTATATCTGGTTGTAAATCCTTGACGATGTCTTTCCACAAAGGATAAGTAGCTCCGTGAGTGGTGGAAAGGCCCCCTGTCTGAAATAAGCCAATCAAACTCCTTGGAGACATGTTGGTTGGTAGCAGCTGGGTCCTGGTGGGAGGGCTGTATGAGTATATGGTCCCATATAAACAGGAGGTAGAGGAACTCAACAAGCCTCCAGTTCATGCTTTTCTGTCTGCCTTTTTCCTCTCATTCTTGCTCCATTCTGTGGAGTCCTGTTGGAAGAGAGAGGGGATAGGAGGAAGGAGAGAGAGAGAGAAAGAGAAATGGAGGGGAGGAGAGGGAGGAGGGAGAGAAAGAGAGAGATTAAAAATGCTCTGATCCTTTGACAGCCTTCTCTCGAGGTGAAAACAGATGTGAAAAATCAAGCATTAAAAGACTTTGGTTTGCCTGTGTTACACCTTAGAGTATTTGGCAGTGTTTTATTCATGTATTTAAGTGGTGCCTTTAACCTCCTGAGCATATACCACCTTTGAAATAACCAGGTCCTGACCTGAGACATCCTCACCCCAGCTCCTCCATCATTTCCCTCGTGAAGTTCTCCACAGTGCTGCAAAGGCGAGTGAAGGCCAGGCACAAGAGGTGGCTGCACCCTAGGCTACAATTACCCCTTTATTGTCCCTTTAATGCTGTGCCAGAGAAACGTGTCTTCTGCTTTCATGTCTCTCTGATGATCTGTAATCCATACTCTGTGCAACCTGAGCAATCTATAAAGACCCAGCTCTTACTTTTAAGTGCTGCCAAAAAAAAGAAATAAAACAAAATAATTACCCAGGTCTGGCGACGAGCACACACGGACACGCAGGCACACACAGACACACACAACTATGAAATCCTGCCAAACTCTGACAGATAAAAATGTCCTCACCCTGCTTTCCTGCTGGGGACTTGGGGAGGTGTGTGTGGTGCAGGGGATGGGGTCTGTTGCTGTTTCAGTTATGGTGGGACCTCGAGGCTCTTCGCAAGATCAAGGCTCTGCAGGGTGACAGCTGAACATGCACATTCAGCTGGGGAGATCCTTCCCAGCACCTGGAGCAGGGCACGCTCTCACTGCCATGGTGGGAGAGCAGCAAAGCAAGGCTGGGGACAGCCCTGTGCCAGCCAGCTCCTCTCCCAGGCATGTGACAAGACATATGATGAGTGGGAAGGCAATCAGGGGGTAAGGTGCCCTGCCAAAGGTTACACAGCAAGCCATGGGTACAGCTGGAAGAGAGCCCTGCTCTCCTGACTCCCATTCCCAGCATCTCGGCCCTTGGCTCATCCTCCTCCCAGCCAGGCTGCTGGCTCTGTAGCACTGCTGGCACCGTGGCACTGCTGGCTCTGTGCCCCAGGTGGCAGGTGAGGGGCCTGCTTAGCTGTCACCTCCCACCTGGGATGGTCCCCTCCTGCTCTCCCAGCACAATGTGGCTGCTGCAGCAGCTCAGCCTGTTGGGCTGTGCTCCTCGCCCCTGGGAGCTGCTTGGAAAAAGTCCTCTCCATGCTCACAGCTGATTCCTCCTCCTGCCTTCTGGGTTTTGTGGAGGGTGTGCCAGCAGTGTGGGCTGGCAGTGATCTTGAGGCTGCTCCCTGACTCTGGGAGCACAAGCTGTGCTCAGAACAGGTGATACCCACCTGTTTCTGTAAAACACAGTGCAGAGAGACTGCAGATACTTTTTAAAGCAGGAGAAATGAGGCTACTCAAAGCTTTGCCACAGTGAGATTTCACGTCAGGATTCTTTGTACATCTCCAGAAAACTTTCTCGTTTTGAGCCTGAGTCCTCTAAAAGTTTGTAACTCCCAGAAAGAAAAGATTTTGCTGAGTGTAGGAGAGGTGTGCTAGGGGTGCCACCTGCACTCCCAGCACTGTGTGTGAGCCTCGGCTGGTGGGAGCAGCAGAGCACAGAGCAGAGGTGCTGCTGGTCAGCGTGGCCATCCCTCTCTCCAGGAGCTTTCCCTGGAGCAAGGCAGGGCTGCATCCCATGGCAATGAGTGTGAGAGCTGCTGTGCAGGTGGGCTGGAGCCCTGGATGTGCTGGGCAGCTCAGGAGCCCTCTCTGTGTGCCAGAGAGTGGGAGCCTGCACGTGGGCACAGCATGTGCTCAAGGAGCTGCAGTAAGCTCAGCAGCTCTCCACAGAACTGAGTTGTGTAAGTCATAAAGATGACACTCAGCTGTTGCATTACAGGAAGAAATGGGGAAAAAAATAGTCAGGTATGGAAAAGTCAGCCAAAGTTTGATTTTTCTGTTGATCCCATATAAACTTCTTCCTAATTGCAGATGGAATATTACTGTTATTAAACCTGATGGTACTTGCAGTTCCTGTTGGTCCTTTTCTGGAGACATGTTTTTAACATCAGCCTTCACCACTGATTCCTATTTCACCCCTAAACAGGGTGAAACTGCCCTGACCTAAACAGGGCAGTTCTCAGTGCTTAGTCCCTCACACCAGACACAGAATGGTTCCACTTTACCTCACAAAACAGGGGAGTTTCTAGCCCCACCCTGAGGGCAACAGAACACAATCCAAGTGGGCCACAGAACATCCCTGCTTCCACTCACTCATGAGCCCAAGGTGATTTCTGGGGAATGCTCCCAGCTACATCCCGCCCTCAGCACCTCCAAATTCCAGTTCAGAAGTGCATTTCTACTGCTTCTCCACCCAGGCTCCCTCCCTGTCTGGCTGTTTGTGTCCCATCAGCTGCAAACTCAGCGTATTTGCCATGAGCTGGGTGTGCAGACTACAATCAGCTGCTCTGTACATGTCGTCCCAGCTTCCTTGGTTGTCTGCTCATTAAACTCACCCACAGTTATTCCCCTCATCTGCCAGCCTGGATCAGTTTTCCCTTAAATATTTCACTGTCTATTGGATTTCTGTTGTAGAGAGAGGAAGGGAGCTCTTATGTACCCAAGTGGGAGACAGCCCCCCTCCAGTTTCCAGCACAGTGCAAGTGAGAACTGAAATCTGAGAGGAGCCAAACAAAATGGGCCTCAGAGGAATCCCAGTGTGTCCTCCTACACGTGAATATTATACATTGGGGAAATATCAGCTTGTGAAAGAGAGGAGATAGTCCCTAAATCCCCACACACAACTCTTCATCCTCTCTTCCTTTCCTTTGGGGCACAGTTGGAGTCAGGATGATTTGGGCTGTGATGTTCTCATCCAGGAGGTAAGATATGGGCAGAACATGCCTTGAGACCACTGAAGAAATGATCACATCTCCAGCCTGGAAGCTGCCTGGATCAGTTCTGAGAGCAGGGAGTGGTGCCCGAGGCAATGGAGGATGGTGGAGCACAACTGGGTCCAGACTACTATCACACCATCAACTTTAATTTTTTAGTAGTATCTTTTTCCCCCCTGTAGCTGCTGTAGAGATGTTGTTTCACATTAAAGATTAATCCACTCCACAGGGCTGGTCCCCATGGAAGCTATAAAGCTTACTAAAAGTGGGACTACCTTGTGTCTAAGGCAATATTGTGAGGTGCATTCAATCAACCTCCTAACAAGTTTGAATCTGAAATTAATCTTTCAGGTGTCTTTATGGGGCTCCACTGATGTGAAATATGTTCTGTGGATTTGGCAAAGGGAACCAGGGAAGAAGCAGGGAGGGGATGCCTCCAAGTCTAGAGCCCTGGGATGGGAGACCCCAGAATAACTAACTAAATCTGGCACAGAGGCAACCTGTGGACTAAAGAGTAGGCTTGGGGGAGCCAGGCACTGGGTTTGGATCCAAGAATCCAGTGTTTTGCTCAACTCTGTCCCAAACTCCCTCTATGACCTTGGGCAGTGCCATTACATGTGGCACTTTCCAGTTATCAGCATGGAGTCACAATGGGACTTGTGGGACTGTTTAGACCAAAAACTTGTTGGGGAGGCCAGAACTGGGCTGTAGCACCTCCCAAAGCACAAACCCACTACCCACGTGGCTCCCACGGTGTTTCTGTCCTGCAGCGAATGCCAACCATTTCAGCAAGCTCTGCAGGGCAGCAGTGAACAAAACCCAGCTCTGCAGCCCATTTCCACAAGAAAGAAGCACAGCAGAGCAGGGAGGGAGCTGGGTCCTTCTGGCTCGTGTCAACAAACACGATCATGCAATCATCACATCTGTTAATAAACATGATCCGTGGGTGAGCCAGGACATGGCTCCAGTTCACAGCAAACAAGCAGTGGGAGAAGAAAATGTTGGATGTGCTGACTCTGAGTCATGCTACAGTCATTTTCCAGCACCATCCAGCATGGAAGCACATCCCCCAGTGCACATGGAGATCCCTCTTAAAGCCCCTTGGATTTTGTTAGGTGGCTTAAGATGCCCTTTTTCTAATACCAATTCAGCCTGGAACATTAAATGTTCCTTATCTTATGAGTCTACAGGATTCTTGGAGGAAAAATTTTCTGTAAAGTGCAAGTTGTATTTGAATGTACACTTAATTTCTTTGTGATTGATATCTGTGTGTTAATTATATTCTATTTTCAGCAATACCTTCGCTGTCACAAGGCAGTGCCTTTTATCCAAGGAGTTCAAATTGAATTAGAGACATTAATTAAAGCTCTCAGCACTCTAGTAAGGCAGGCAAGTGCTGTTACTCCCATTGTTTCTTGAAATAAGAAGAAAAGAATAGAGCTGGATGTCTACTTAGCCACTTAAAAGGTAATTTTTATACAGTGGGAGAGCTCAGAGTGATAGATTTTGCACAAAATTATACTGCAAGGTCTGTTTCATCCAAGGGAGGCTGTGCAGCCCCAGATCCCTGTTATAAACAGGCAGACAGGATGCAGGTGCTCTAACTCTCCATCACTTGCTGTGAACACTCCTCTGCCTCCTGGGATTTTCTACCTTTCCCCTAACCCCTGTACCTTTCATTTATCTCTTCTATTAGATCCAAATTGATCTCACACACATCCCTTCTGTTTTCCCATGCTTGTTGTTGTGAACTATTTCCATCAGAAATGCAGACTCAGGAAAGAGAAATTACTGAACACATTATTTGCAGTACAGGAATAAGTCCCCTATCTCTTTAAGCTTCATGCACCAATAATTCTTCCTTGTGTCCCACATTTGGTTCTTGGCAGGTTGAGAGAGGTTTCTGCCTGCTGCCATTTACCAGAGGGAAGAGGCTAACAATTGCTATTTGTATCTGAAACAGTTCTGCTCTTCAGCAACTTCACACACGGCTTTAGGATGCTGATAAATTAGTAAGAGACTGAAGTGTCAGGGGAGAGATGAAACAGCTTATGTTAGT